CATTCTCATTTCTCAGTTTCATTTCTCATTCTCATTCCTCACCTCTCATTCTCATTTCTCATTCTTCATCTTTTCAGCAGACATGGCATAAGGTTACTACATTTCAGCATTTCTGTTTTGTTCAACCACTTGCCGACTGTATTTTTGCAGGTTGCACTTGTCCTTAATGTTGTATTACTTTGGTTGAAAATACCAACTTTTCAAAATGACAAGATACCACAACCCCAGTCCTTTTACGAAGTTGGACTTCACAAATGTTGATCCTTAAAATCCTGTTGTGGAGCGAGATTTGCTACAACTCTCAGCAAGTGGCTACTTGAGGGCGACACACACTCTCAACTTCCACAGACTATTTTAGCCTGTGCGTACAATCTCAGTGGGAATCACCGGAGCATAAGGACGAGTGTAGACGTCCTGTAGCAAGATATGCAGAATTTACTGGAATGTGTTCAGATATCCACTGTCAGGCGAGGTGAAGTGTTCAGTCCTAGCAGATCCCATCGGTCTTGGCCCCCCTGTGAAATTACTGATTTGTTTGCTCTTTTATTTGTGATCTGCGTGCAGACCAGCAGTGCATGCCGTCACAGGGCAACCAGGGAAACAGCGGAGCCGACCAGCCGGCAGACCGGCCCGGGCTGAATCACGGTGCGATCATCTTCATCTGCCTCCTGATCTTGGCCGTCTTTGGCCTGTTCTTCGGCCTCCTGCAGGCTCGCTCCCGCAAGAAGCTTTGCTGGAGGGACAACTACGAGACACTCCCCACCTTTTACAACAACAGCAAAGGGGAGGAACCCAAGATTACGCTGCGCCAGAATGCCCTGCCCAGCAGCGACGATGAGGACTTTTTTGACGACACCGACGAGGACCTCTAGACTCCACATTGCAACTTTGGCCACGTAAACACCTTCCTTTTTTATCTCTAAATGAGCTACTCTGGCAGGGACCTAAAAAATCACCTCTAAAAAAGGCCAGGTCATTCCTTCACGTTTTTACTAGCCAGCTCCTTAAACCAGGACTGTGTTTCAGTATGGATCTGTATCTCTGTAAATTATGGTTTGGATTGACAACAGAGCTCATTGTAACGGTACTTTTATAATGAGCAATGTTTTGTACCCAAACCCTGAGCTCATTTTTGTAAAGCAGGCAGCAGCAGAATTTCCCTGCCACAAAGGAACTTCAACAGAAGAACACAGTCAAAGCTGTAACAAGCATTTCAGGTTGTGATCATTTTTTTCAGGTTAAACTTAACTTTAATGGCATCGTGCACCGATCCCTGGTCGCACCACGCTGCCAAGTTGACAAGTGTACTTTCCCTGTTTTTCATACCTGAAGGTATTTAGATAGCTTGCATTACTCTGCCAAAATGAAGTGCCTTGAAGTGAATTGATATGGTCAGTCCAATCGTTTAAATAGGAGTGACAAATGTAAAATATTTATATAGTGCATTTCAGTACTGGTGTACCTTTCATTACTTGAGTTGTCAATTTTGTGTGTCCAGATGAACAAAAATAGTGTCTCCTTTCCAGAGCAAAGGGCTTTAGGTAGGGACTCTCCCCTCTTAAATGGAATTTTTGAATATGGAGGGATAGGGAACTAGACCATGTATTATTTGCTACAGGCAAAACCCCATCTCCCTCGTGTGTATTTCTGTACACATGCAGTCAGGGTTGTAGTCAAGTAACCCACAAAGTACCCAGAATCGCTTCACAAGCACTTCAGTGTCAATGAGTTCCAAGCCTTTCACCCATGAACGGTAACAGAGAGATTCCCATGTTAGTCACCCCATTGTCAGTAGTAAAAGTACATGGACTTGGAAAGCCCTTTGCCACACTGAGGGGAAAGTTGCTTTTGTCAGGGAAGTCGGGTCGCGGGGACAAAAATTGGGTCCCATAACATTTTTTTGCACCTGCAACGAAGACATTTCAACATGGACGTTGTCCCGTGATTGTGGAACAAACATGTGCGTGTGTGAAAGTACTTGCGATGGCCAGGATGAAGTACCCGACTCCAACACTGCACATAGGTACATTAAATAGTGTTGGTGCTGGGTTGAATCCTGGTTAAAACAATGTCTGTAATTGATTCATAGAATTCGTTGTTGAATGACAAGTGTACAGTTTTCCTTGTATTGTTTTCTGTTTTGTTTGAATCTGTTTGATGTTGAATAATTGATAATCAAAGATACTAATTGCTCTGTACATACTGCTTTAGTTGGAAAAAAAGTCAAAATCCTGAACTGCTAAATTCAGTTCCTGGTCAAGACAGTTTCTGGTTCTGGTATTTAATAATGTATTTGTTTATAAATTATTTTAATCAGACAGGCTTTTAGTTTTTTCTTGAATGTGAGATGGACCAAACATCGTTTTTTTCTAGCATAATCGATATTATAGGGGTTCATAAAAACCTATGAAGAGAATTTCAGGTGTTAGGGAATCAGGAAAAACTATTCAGTTTGAATGAGTTTTGAACCATTTTTCTAATCTTAGATGGTTACAGTATGACATCTGGGATGGCAATTGGCCCCTCCATATCAACTCTGTATACTTAACATTACATGTATTGGCTTGACCGATTTGTATATTCGATTCAGGTTCCTTGAAACCAAAAACCAATCATGTTAATTATTTCTGAGGTTTCCTGTACAAACTCTCTTCAGATTACTTTGATATTGTTACTGTATCTCATGATTTTGTACTACCATGCAGTAACGCCGTTTTTTTAATATTCATAATACATTATGCAACAATAACCGTGCTCCATGGGAGGCAACAGTAGTGGACATGTGATGTACAATTTGAAAATTCATGTACGAATTGTTCGTAATAGGGTTTGTAGCTTCCAATCACGGGGTCAGGGTTCCAATCCTAGCAGGTGGTGACACGCTGTGACCTCGGGCAGGTCACTTCATCCCTACTCGCCTCTCTCTACCCAGAAGTCAATAGGTACCTGTGCAAGGGCAGATATGGTTATTGTGCTTATCCCTTGGTGCTTGTAAGTGGTCGTCGGGCTAGTATACTCCCATGGGAGCTGAGATGGTCTCAGGAATTTATCACGTGTTGCGAGCCCACCGAGCAGGGATGACAGCATATCTGTGCTGTTAAATGGCGGATACTGTTAGATACCACATGTCATAGAACATGAACAAATGCTGTATTACATGTATTCTTAATATTTCAAGGAAGCTCCGGCTTGAGGTGCGGGTATCCAGTGTGTATGCAGGTATAAACTTTTCCTTGTATCGTCTGATTTCTCCCATTTTCCATGTTTTCCATGGCAAACTGAACACCACCACCAAGTCTGAATTACTAGTTGTAAGACCTGTGTAGTCTACCTCTCGTAAGCCCAGGACCAAATCACAATAACTGGTTACGGCTGACAGTAAACACAAGTCTATGGGAAGCGGCTACAGCTGCCAGTACTGGCTTCCATAGCCGCATTTGTCACTTCTAGCCAAGCCCTAACTTTCGGACATGGCTTCCTCAGACTGTTTACCACATCCCACCACACTAAACAGGGCTTTTTGAAAATCTTGGCTATTCCTATTGAGACAGTCCCTCAGAACAATACCCAACACAATGCTTATCAGCCATCCAATGGGGCTATCAGGAATTTCCAGTAAAACATTGCTGGATAAGTGTATATTTTGGACTAGCCCTAACACTCCTCAGTCCTCCAACAGGTGATGGATTGAGGAGGGTTAGGGTTAATGACTATAAACTCATGGCAGTGCCAAAGCTCGGAAGTGGCAAAGTTTAAAGAAAGCTCAAAGCTGCTTCCGTGCCATTTGAAACATGCACTGAAGCACACTGCAGTACATTCAAGTCTAAGTTAAAATACCAGTGAAAGTTGCTGTGAATAAGTTTAGGAGTTGGGAAAAAATTAAAATTGTTCACTCTATGTATTATGAAGCATTTGTCATCCGGTATAACAAAATGAGTCATAATTCCCCACAGCAACTTTCTAGTGAAAGGACCACTTGTGTGAATCAATTTGACATTTTTCATCCATGGATTGTCAGTTTTCACCTGGATGCCAAACTTGGTGGTATGCCAAAACCAAGAGACCAGTCTGTCCTTGCTTGTCTAAACTACCGGGTAAAACAGAATCCTGAAACTGTGGCCTTAAGACTCTTTTTGTGGGATCCAGACAGTTTTGAATCATTCATTTTCCACGTGCCTTTGAATCAGTCAATTATCAATTTGTAATTTGAAATACTAAGTATTCTATTGCAGTGCAGGTTGTAACGCGCAATTGAAGGAAACATTGATTTGTTGTAGATCATGTATTCAACTTCAGTGGAGTGATCTTTTATTTAAAATAAGGCATGCAGTACAGGTGAAGATGAAATTTACGTCCACCGCATTCTTCTATCATTGACAGATCATTATGCCCTGTCTTAATTCATGCAGTAACCAAAAATGGAAAATTGTAGAGATAAGAAGTACTTGTTGTGATAATCATTTTGTACCCAGCGTTTCAGTGTATTTTTGTACGAGGAATTTTCTAGTGAAGTTTATGAAATGACCAGTTTTTAAGCCATTTGTCATTGTTACAGTGTGTCATCTTTGTTGGTCTTTGAATAAGCATGCATCCATTTTTTGGCCCAAAGGAAACAGTGACTTACTCAAAAGCTCTTGCAAACTATCAGCATTATGCAGCTTTCAAACATTTAATATGAACATACCAGAAAATAGTCATTGCAATCGCACGTCATTCCCGACAAGGAAGATCATGGATGTGATTCACACTCCTTGCAAAGAAACCTCTTTGTAAAAAAAAATTTACAAAATAAAATGCATGAAATAACATGAGATATGAACGTTCAAACTCACAAATAAAACTGTTACGCCCCAACTACTGTCTGTCCCAACTGTAGATGGGATGGTACCAAACCACAGGACTGGCCAAATTATAGCACTAAGTGCTAGTGTGTGCTATAGCGTATGCCAACATCATCTCATTGATACCAGCGACTCCTGCTTGCAGAGACTACATGTAGTTTTTGTGTCATGGACAAAATGCCAGGTCGGTGCGTTATGGAGGACTTGCCAAGTGTGAGACACAAACTAGGAGGTTAAGAAAATTTCCTCAGAAATTTGCCGGCCATCGTTTGGGCCGGCTAAACTTCGGCACTGTAGATAGGGCCATCCCAACCATAGTTGGGACAGATACTATAGTTGGGGCATACTAATCAAATCATGGCAGAGAGTGGCCAAATTCAAGCAGCGACGAAGCTTAGAAATTTGTTCAGCACAGAAAACTCTGCTTACCGGTAGCCACAAGTGCTAAGCGTCGCGTATCGCGACACCATCCGCTCACGTTATCCTTGCAGAAAAATTTGCCAAAAGCTGCCCGCTTTCTGCATACATGCTGCATCTGGATGGAATTGGGCCCTGCTCTGGAGCAGATTGCCCATGTCATAGGTCACTTTGCTCTCAAATGGCAAAAAAAACCCAAAAAAAAACAAGTAGGTAAGCCAACAACTATTATCTGTCAGCCATTGTGCAAGAGAAAGCACTGAGCTGTTCCTGAAGCTATAGGCTGGTGAAAAACCAAGTTGAAATTTCAGTCAATGAGTTGAGGCTGTCTGAGATAAACGGCTGTCAGATGTCACGCTAACTAGAGCACGTTCAATGCATGCCAGTCGCCATATGGCGTTACTGATTGGGCCTCTATTGCAAGCCTGTGGCCGATTCAAAACCATTAACAATACACTTGTTTCGTTCTGGATCTTACTCTTTCCGGATCAGGCCGAGGCAACTGCAAATGAACAATAGACTTGAATGACACAAAGAAATCACTTCATCCTGTGATACTGCAATACTGCGAAGTCATAAAAAGCTTTCAACATTAACTCTCTGGGCACTTACTGCCCCGAAATGAAAGCGTTTAATCAATGAAACTTGTAAGCCTCTCTGGACACTCTGCTCTTATAGAAATATTCATTTCTGAGTGCGTTTCAAACTTTCACAAGTTCAAATGTTTGGTTCAAAGTTTTATAGCATCTGAGTTGTTAGAAGCCAACTTTTCAACATGTACAGAATACATGTGTGTTGTACTATACTGAACACTTGGGGAACACCACGGATAAACTGTACATGGCAAACTTTGCAACAATATAAAAGCTTTAACGTAAGTACCATTTCAAAACACTTTTAAACGATTAAAAATACTTATATCAATTCCAATATCAATATCTATTGCAACTTTGTAGTGATAAATTACGTTTAACTGTTTAAACTGACATTACAAACTAGTTCAAGTAAAAAAAGTTTAAATGACAAGGGCCCATACTGTGAATCATGGGTAACACCGGTGCAATGCAACATTTCAACCAGAAAGAGGGTAAACCTAAATTATAATGGTGTCGGGCTTTGTTTAAATGTATGCTTTCCTAAGGTTGCTGGACGGACCGTGCCCACCTCACTGCCTTAGAAAAGAGTGCATGTTATTAAACAGAGCATGTCGTTATGCTACAGGTCTGCTGCATGTATGAACATATGTTACATATCAATCCTTACACTTGAAACCTGCATCTTGTTTAGCTGTCCAGATGATGGCCAGATACATAGGGTCGTTTTCCAATACTCAACTTCGTCTCCGTCTCGGGCTTCGTTCCCAAAACCAATTCCCGGGCCTGAAGCGTTTAAATTACATTGGATTACTGTAATTTTTAGTTCTCTTGCATCTTATTGGATGTTTTGTGGCACTATTAGACTGATCACTGCGCTTACAGCTTCAAAGTCAGGTAGTAAAAAAACAGATGAAGCTTGAGACGGAGCCGAAGTTGAGTATTGGAAAACGGCCTAGGCTTGGAACATATTGCAAAACTTTATTTAAGTCAGAAGGGTAGATCAAATCTCCACACCATCATCTGGCCACTGTACAATTTTTTTACAAGACAGGTTGTTTTGTATATTTCCTTGTTTGCAAGGTTAGCCTCTCAGCCGTTGCCTGGCAACAGGCAACTCTATTCAAAAAATGTGATTCAGTCGTGTTCAGAACTACGTGAAACAATAAGGTTTACAACAAGGTAAACGACAGTTTACTCAAAACGCTGGAGTCACTCTTGTGATGGGGTGGTATAGAGGCAGTTGTTTTCATGCCAGGTGTATGGGCTCCAGAAGGTAAATCTCCCCCCCTGCCCTTGACAAACATGCGAGGCGACAACCGACACTTGGGCAGTGTTTGAGTGTGCTGCCCGCATCGACGCGAGTATACTCATGAGTGTACAAACAGGAGTATGATGCATGAGTGAGCAAGAGTACACGCTCGACCAGGCCAGGAGAACACTCGTGCATTGGCAGTGAGGTCATGATCACGCTATGGGATCAGCGTAATGCACACCTAACCATTGTCTGACCCGTGAAGAGTAACATGTCCTCGTTAAGCAGTTTGTGTTGACTAAGCCCTGTTCACACATGAATACCAGCCCCCCTTTCTGGAACACAGATTTAGAGGCATGAGTATTTTCACAGAGTTTTCTGAACTACATGAACACAATGAAAGTCCATGCCAGGTGCATGTAGGTAACGGACGAGCGTGGTTAAAAGTCCCCTCTTTAGTTCAGAGTGGAGCCCATGAAGGTAGCAACCTATTGTTTTTCTTACCAACACTTTGCAAAAAAGGAATTGTGTCTCTTTTTGGAGGGGGGAAATTAGTGACCAACAACTACTTGGGGGGGATCCATTCATTGCCTACGTAACTGTCTAGAACTACCTCTGCGAATCCTGAGACGTGGGATACATTGTAGATACTGAAGGGGCAACTGAGCAAGCTCGTTATCAGGCTAGGTGATCGCAGATGGCTCTGGTGAATTCTGAACAGCTGGCCTTCCCACCCAAATCACCTGTTAGCACCTGTGAATAAGAACAGCCAGTGACACCCAACATCAGATTACTGAAGCTGTGCTGTTGTCATTCTGTACCAATCCAAACACAGGGTCACATGAAAGTAAAGCGTAGTTTCCAGTGCTTCATTTTTTTTTTCTTTCAAGCACTAAACTTAAACTTTAATAATCGATGAAGAGGATAAGGAGCAAAGCGTTTGAAATCAACTGATAATGTCTTTTAAACAAGAATTGTAGTAAGAATCAATCCTAGGCTGGGTTTTGAGTCCAAGACTATGTTATTTTTCAGTAGCCTGTCCCATTCCGAAACCGCAACAGTTCAATGGCTCGGCGATTCCCAAATGTTATATCGCTGCACCTATCATATTATGTACATGTATGCTACATATATTTATGCAGCAAACATGTCAATACACAGCAGTTACCTTGCCCCCCTTGATGACGGCGAGGGCAGCAGACTCTATCTGGTCGGCTTGCTCAGTCAAACTCATGTGCCTGAGCATCATGACCGCGCTGAGGAGCAACGCCGTTGGGTTGGCCTTGTCCAGGCCGGCAATGTCTGGGGCAGTGCCGTGAACCTGTGGAACAATTGATCATTTTTTTTCCTTTAGAGTTTGTATGTTCTTTGAAGGGTAGAGAGGTTTCAAGGGGGAAAAAAAGTGAAATGAGGAAAATAAAGCATGGCTCCTGATGCTGTTCTAGGTACACTTCCGATTGTGCTGTTGTGATATCACCAGGTCTCACACTTGCCGGTGGCAAAACGGTTTTCACATGAAAAGGACGCAAGGGAAATGTTTAGAAACGCACGCAGCAGCATCTGCTGATCTTTGAAGGGGAACAGAATGTTCCTGAGCACTTACCGATTCAAAAATTGCCACCCCGCCAGCTCCAATATTGCCGCTTGGCGTTACGCCGAGTCCGCCCACCAAACCGGCGCACAAATCACTGCAGTGAAAGACAAATAAGCAAAGATCAGCACAAAACGTTCTGAGGAAAATAGAAAGAGAACGACTGGGATGGATGGCCATTTCATATCGAAACACTCCTCCTGTATGTGCAGCACAAGACAGGTGAACGAAAGTATTTTGGGACTTGCAAAAAAGCGATATTTTTTATTTCAATGAATGAATTTTGCCTCTCTGTGTCCAAAGCAATGAAAGGAAAATACAGTCAAACACCCATAATAAGAGCCCTGTTACCACAACATTGTGCTTATAACAAGATTAAACTCCTGTCCCAAATTTCTTTGTATTCTTCTTTGTTTTCCTGGACTGTGAATTCAAGGTCAAGGCTATAACAGGGTAACTTGTTAAGTCTCAAAGACCTTGTTAACCCCTTCGCGACGGATGACGGTAAGTGGCGCCGTTAAAATTGAGATCCTCGGCCAGCTTTTCAGCTATTATTCTCGGCCCACACTCGAGCAAACACTGTGAAAGAAGGCAGACCCTGGCTCTTGTATATATGGTAATTGGTCTTTGTGCGNGAGGCAACGGGAATGTGGAAGCATGATTAGAGCCGCATGCCACCGAACAATCAGCCTTTTCACTGTGTAATTCAAAGCGTGCAGAGCACACAGGGCCACAAACCGAGAATTTGCGGATTGGCAGGTGGCCTTCGTGGCCAAGCGAGGCTGGAATTCTCGGAGTCGGCTTTCAGAAAAAAATTCGTGTCGTCAAGGGGTTAATAAAGTGTTTGACTGAATACACAAAAATGTGTATTGTCTGATTGAATTTATTCTGAGCTAACACAATCATCTACAAGCTAAAGTTTTATAGTTAGAAAGATTAAAACTTGGCGGTGGTGAAATAAAAGAGAGCACCTTAAGATATCCCCATAGAGATTGGGCATAACCAGCACATCAAACTGAGTGGGATCCTGCACCATCTGTGGATGTAACAGTGACAAAGCAAAAGAGCTATGTGAAGCAGGCAATGAGGAAACATTAGTCTTCTGCAAAATGATCAAAGATAGGGGGGTCCTCTGAAGATGGAGGACAGAATCTGCCTGCCCTCCTCAACAATTTTCGCCAATATCGCCACAGTGCCTTCTTTCACGAGCCGAGCCTTTAGCATTTCTTTCAGTAACTCTTTTAGTGAAAATGGACCATACCGTGTTTGCACAGTGCCCATTTTTCCGAGACAGGGCAGGCAAAAGTATACACTTTTCCACTGCTGTACTCAATGTACGTAGGCTGGCAAGCATGTACATGTAGCTTGAACTTCGAATGACCGTAACAACACCCACATGTCGGATTGAGTTGACATTTCCCATTTGTGCTGGTAAGGAATGTCTTTATATGCTTGCCATGTTAAAAAAATAAAATGGGCGTGGGAATTCTGAGTTTCTTGGGGTGGTCCAATTTAACCTGGCTGTTTTGACCTTAAAATAAAAGTAGATATGGGTCATTCCAAGGGTTTGGGGCACAATTTGTATCGGTGTCAGTTGTCACATGGGTTCTGTAAAAATGAACAGCTATTTCCATGCACGTGGATTCCAAACTGCCATTGTAATACACCTTGCAAGGCTGACTACAGAGGTGTGTGTTATTTTTACAGAGTAAACGACCAACTCTGCAGGTCACGGCAGGTGGTAAAAGGCGGATGTACCGAGTGACACCATCACAACTTGTGTCCCAACCTCATGGAATGACCCATGTATCTGGTTAATTCAGAATGGCATTCTTAAGCTAAAAGCTTCAGCTATACGTGTAGGGTTTGCTATTCAAGGCAATATTAAATGCGTTCTTCACAAAAACAATTATTTCAAAGACTGTTTTCAACCAAGGCAGAAAATTACTTCTCCAACATGAAACAATGGTCTGCACCACTGGAATCACTCAAAAAAAAAGAGATCACCTGGTGTTCAGAAAATTTATCTTGTAAAACTACTAAAACTATTGCAATGAGTTGATTTCAAAGTTGGGCCTACAAATATTAGACAGAGTTACACACAACCTGTGAAAGGACTGAGTTCTTACATTGAGGCAGACTGTGTCTAGATACATCTCCCGGAATTTGACTTCCCTATGCTTCTCTGCTTCCTCTCGACAGCACTGGAGAAACAGACCATCGGACATCCTCCTGAACATGAAAGACACGATCTTTTGTCAGCATTCAAGTCACGTAAATCACTCACCGAAATCACAGCAAATCTCAACTCCTGTCTGAATCTTACAGTGAATCAGAAGTGCAGTAAAAGAATATCACACTAACACAATATGATCACACTCACATGACAAGTATCACTCACATGATAAATATCACTTTAATCACACTCACATGACAACTACTGCACTCACATAAGTATCACACTCATATGGTAAGCATCCCACTCAAATGATAAGTATCACACTTACTTTAATCAGCCCCACACAATAGGTATCACGCTCACATAAGTATCACATTCATACAATAAGTATCACACTCACATATGTATCACACTCATTTTAAGTATCAAACTCACTTTAGTATCAGACCCACTCAATAGGTATCTCACTCACATGATAAATATCACAGTCACATGGTAAGTATCCCACGCGCACGATAAGAAAGATTTCAAACTTTGCACAGTGGAGGCTAAACAGACAGAAGTTGGTGGGTACACCATCTGGACTTAATCTCTTCTAGAAGTGTGGAGGTTCTGAGAAGAACTGGTGGGTAGGTATTCAACGCGTTCAGGGGACAAGTTCTTTTATTAGGAAAATTTGAACCAAGTTGTGGGGACATTTTTGAGTCTCCACAACATTTTAGTCCCAACAAAATAGGTCAAATGTTGAGTGTATGTCCCCACAACTATGGTGCGAGACGAGTTTAACTGGTGAGTGTGATCTCATCGGTTCTTCTCGGCACCACACTTCTAAAAGGGATCAGTTCTGCATGGTGTACCCACAAACTTCTCTCTGACACTCACATGATGTTAGCCTTGTGGACTGCAGTGACCGTCTGCCTATTGTTGCTCTTGGCAAACTCGAAAGCAAACTCTGCTACTCGCCTGGAGGCTGGCTCGGTGATGAGTTTGATGCTCTGGACCACCCCGTCGACAATCTGTGTGATACAAAGGGAGAGGCGGGTGGTAATGTGGAAATGCATCCCCAATGTGACACTGTAAGCTAATTAACCTATATGTTTTACTGATGACTCTCTATAAATACACGATTTAACTCTGTGGAATGGGGTGGCGATGGGAGTGGGGTGGGTACATGGTACAGGGATGATGGGTTACGGGGTGTGCTGAGGTGTAGGGCTGAGAGGTGGGAGAGAGTGTTGGGGGCAGTTGGAGGTTGCTATGAATGATACTCAAATACACTTGACAAGGTAGAGGAGAGCACAAATTTTAATTGAATAAAATGCTTCAAAAAAGTCCTAATTCCTGAAGTACAGTAGTTCATGATGCTATCATATTGCTGATTACCTGTTGCAATAAAATTTCAACAAATAGTTTGACCTTTTCTATGCCCAGTGGAACTCTGTTCTGCCGTCAACTGTCCAAGTAGTCTACTCACCATATGTTCAATACCACTGTATTCCCCTTCCGTGTTCTCGCGGATTGTCACCAAATCCACATTATCATATGGAGTCTTGTAACCTTCTATCGATTTGCAGGGTCTGACATTGGCGTAGAGACTGAACTCCCTGTGAAAATGACCATAATTACAAGGACTGTCTACGTGTTGCTCTGAATTAATGTCACACAAACCAACCAACTTATCCAGACGCATGCCCAAATTCCATACACTTTCAGAGTTGGCAATTTTACGTAACTGAGCCACAAACCCTTTATGGATGGACAGCCGAGGCTTGACCTGACAGATCCGCTTCAAACGAATCAAGTGTACTGAGTTGCAATTTCTAATGCATTAAAAGAATCTTACAGGCAACTTTCTCTGGCTTACATCTTGACAGTTATCCAGACACCATCTTGAGTTTCTTTCTCCCCGTTTAACCATAAAAAAGCTGGAGGAGCACGGTGCGAAGGGCACATCCCTCCACCCCCAGACAGTTTCTTTGATATCGTCCAACTGAGTATTGTTTGCGCTGAGCCAGTAATGTCTCACAATTGTTTTGACACTAATTTGGTGAAAATCGGAGAAACCATTCTCAGGAAGTTTTACAAATTTGAATTTTCGAAGCAGCTCAGCTGAAAATGTGAACTTTTTCCCATTGATATGTGCTTAATACCTGTGAGCCACAGTGTGCAAGGGTGTGAAATATAAATGGCAAAGTGACAAAATCTTGAGCTTGGGTGGGCAAAATTTGGGCTCATCCCAAAAACAAAGGGCTCTTAAGGGGGTTATTAAGCTGTCCATTTGTTTTAAAGTAACTTCATAACAGGGTCTACCGTAATATTGCACATATATGGCGACTGTTTAGTCTAAACAAGTAGTCGTGGCTTGTGATTGGTTTATAGTAATTAATAGTTTTATTATGGGGTGTGAGTGACCACACACTAGTACATAAAAGCTAAAATTGGCTAGCAAAAACCTGAAATTTAAACAGTTCCAACAATTTTGAACAGAGAAAGTGCGCAAAAATGCTGCAATGCAGAGTAAAAATATGAACCAAACAAAGCTGAAATCAGCTAAAAAGCTGAATCCTCACAGTCCTTGTTATGAGAACCTACTTGCGCAGAGCCAGGTTGAGGCTCATGTGACCCTTGCCGACAGGTGTAGCCAGGGGGCCCTTCAAGCCCAGCTTGGTTCGGCCCATGCTGTCGATGGCCTCGGGGGGAATCCTGGTCTTGCCGTCCGGACCGCGGACTGGCGTCACATCCACCGACTCCCAGACAACCGGAACCTGGTGGTGACAACAGGTAAAACCTCACTGCTTTTTAACCCTCCTTTGGTGGTAACAGTCACAGACTGTCAATTCCATTCACTTTCCCCTGCTACACTGACATACACAGGCTGGTCAACAATCAGATCACAATTGTGGTTATTATTCTGACCGGTCAAATTCCATCAAGAGGTGACTCACCGACAAAGCCGGCTTATCATTCACCGACAATCAAAGCACAGCTACAGTACATACAATGTATATTAAATTATATCAAAAGTCATAGCCAGTCAATTCTGCTTTATGTAGGCAGGGAACTCAAAATGTTAAAAAGAGTAGCATAGCTGGACTAATTTTGAAATAGAGGACAACTCTGTTCACTTGCATCGGAGGGTTACATCTCACCAACTGCATTCATAAACCTCGACCCCAAAAGGGCTGGGGAGAGCTAGACCTGTGTTGGGTACTAGAATATTCAATCGGCTATTGCAACAAAATCCTGCTGAAGTGTACAGTTCTTCTTATGTGCGCCAGGTGCCCAGACTGAACAGTTTCCACCAACCTGTCTTTCCTTTGCCGGTAAGGGAAAGCTTGAAACTGGCGCGGATAGGGCCAGGGAAGAGTGCTATGGGGATACCGTCTTGGCTGTGGGATGGGGCAGAGGGATTGCATATCCACCTACAAATCAGAGTGTCTTCAAATGGGTCTTTCTGGCAGGGCACATATTGATTACTCACTTGTGCAGCTGCAAATATTTGTTGAACAGAAGCTGATATTTCTGGCCCGATTCCATCTCCTGGAATTAGCGTAACAGTTGTTGGCTGAAAAAAAAAAAATGTATGTAAAAATTCCAGCTTCATTTTAATAGCTTGCCAAACATCAGAGGGTCAACATGCGTCATCGTGTTAACTGTGCTGTGCTGGATAATCCTCAGATGAAAACCCCAATTCCCTGCATCGGCACAGTGACTACACCAAACTCAAAGCACATAATGTATAAACGGCAGATGTGCTCCCAGACAACAGTTATCAAACATTTTGGTTGTTCTTCAACATGCATAAGGCCCACACCTCATTTGCCTTGGAAATAAAAAGTTACGATGTCGTGATGTCGTTGAACTTGTAGCTTGAACTTTCTTCTCTTAAGCCATGTTCCCATTGGACTTTTTTGGGTTGACTTACCACGACTTTCCTGTGGAATTGCAAAATTAAATCCAACGGGGACACACGGTAAACTAACGTCCCTGTCAACTTACTGCGATCACGATGTAAAACTAACAGTGTCCAAGTGCCCAGGGAAGAAAAAGCCCAATGGAAATAGGCCTTTAGCAAAATAAAATGCTCAAGACACCTGTCATTCTTAGCTTAGCATGACCAGAAAAATAGTAATAACTTGTTTTTTCAATTTTTAAATTAGCCTTTATGTTTGGTGTTTAAGAAATGATTCTCATGGTACATGTATATCAGTCATTACTGTCCCCAATTGGCAAATATTTACCAATTTTGGCTATAACCTTGGGTAAATGGCAAGAAAAAAATATAACATTCGGCACTGCAGAAAAGCTAGGTGGATCCAACACTGTGGGTCTAGCTGAAAAACTGGTTATTATCAAAACGCTGTGACTTTAAGTCACATATACAGCGTTTCAAACTTGTTAGCGTCTATTCTATTGCACCAATATCTGGAGAAATGGGACACAGAAATCCAACCAGATTGTAAAGAATGGATCTCAGACTTCAGTTCTATTAAAAGAAAATCTTCCAGGGGTGTGAATCTACCCAAAAAAATACAAAGGAGACATCTACATGTATGGAATAGGGTTTGATTGAAAAATAAATAAACAGGAAAGAGAATTGGAAACGTTGTGGTACATCGCAAGCTCAAACCTGGATTCACGTGCTTGCTGGGCAGTGTACACTTCTGCAGCACCATGATGGCCTAGTGCAATCTGCAATCTTATATGCCATAGACTGGCAATGCCGTAACTATAGAATTCGGACACTGTGCTATGGATTCCTTGGAATGCTGTGTTCACTTACATACCCGCTGATCAGTACCCTTCTCAAATGTACTGCAGGGTGGGCATTGCTGCGTTCAATCATGAAGCCTACTGACTGAAACGGGGAAAACAATTCCCTTGCCAGCCAACGATCCTTCTTCCAAAGATCTCTACAAATCTCTTACAAGCTCAATTTCAAAGCCCATTGTAGTCAGGTACCACACGGGGTACACTTAAATGTACATGTATTTATTGATAATATCATTTAGACAGTCCGTTTTGCTGAGCAAATACAAACACCTGTACAGTGAATGCAATTCAGATTTTTATTTTTATCTCATTTGATTTTACCTCTTGTGAAAAGTGCCTTCTTCCAACAAGCCGTCTGATACTTGGTGCCTGAAGGGTACACGTAATAACGAAAACCAACAAACATCTGGTTAGCAGTAAATAAGTTCAGAACAGTAACATGTACATGTATGTTGATGAGTGTGACAAATAGTTGCTTAATGAACTCGGTCAATCATGTTTGGAGGGGCGCATTTGATTGGGCAGCAGAGGAGTAGGCCTACATGTACCTCTGAGGTCACAAGCCTAACATTACTTTGCCTTTGACACCTGAAAAGTCAGTAGCCTCAGCCAACTTTACGAGGTGTATTTGCCAAGTCTTTGTCATTATTTTGCGCGGCCTTCTGACAGCCTCTTGTACCAAGCCCCACCCAGCCTATCTCGGATTCTGTAGGGGTTGGGATGTTATTTTCTTTTCAGTTTAGAGGAAAGGTAAGGGGTCAAGTGGCAAATGAGGAAAGTGACTGTAAAACCAAAAACGAAGTAGCAATGTCAAATGGTAGGGGACAGATTACACAAAGATCAACTGCACCCAACACATCCTAGGCCTACTTTTTTTTTGAGTAGCTCCTAAATTCTAAGGAAGGTCCTGGGCCTACTTGATGGGCCCGCAAGGGGAGAGTGGGTTCTTTCCTCACTTTGCACCAATGAGCCCCCGGCTAAAGTCCCAGCTTGGCCCAAGCTTTAAGCGCATTTGGTTTCCAGTCCATATTTGCTCTCGCAGGATTTCTCCAGATACTCCGGTTTCCTCCTGCCTCTAAAACTGGACCTTCTTCCCAATTCCATAAAGTGATGCTGATTAATAAGTGTATAGGCCTAACTTGTCAGTTACTGGCACAAATAGCCTGAGTAGCTGAAAGCGCTATTAAAACAAAACAACAACAACATGGGGCCCACAACTTCGCAAGGCACCAAACCACTAGTCTCAACAGAAGACTTGTATCCGTGCTTGACGAGTCAATAACGACTGAGCTCCATTTGAGGCACAGAACGCTTGAGCAGTCCCATAGCTGGTCGAGTTGTCTCAACGGTTGGTTGACATCCATCACAGTTGAGCATGTTCAATGTTGAGTTCCCCGGGGTCGGGTTGGTTGGTCAAATTGCCCAAGCCCCCCCCCCACTGACCATCCCACTATCATGACTATCGCCACCCACCGTACTCCCGACGACAAACAACACAGATCTAGGGTGTAACAACTACTACTGGCAGTGATGCTAAGCCTACGCCTAACGTTATTTGTCATGCTTAAGTTGTGAACTTGTGTGTCATGTATAATGTTTGTAGGCTAGCTGACCAGCTGACCATGCTAACTTAAAAGTGTTCTGATGATTTGGGGGATATTCTCAAATTACTGTAAAGTTACTCCGGTCACACTGTCTGACTTAAGAAATAATAAGACTCGTTAACAATCCCACACACTCCAAATTGTCACCGAAATCTTTGATTCCTTACCGCACATCTCCATATAGGCCCATAACTTGCACTGAGCGTGCGAAGCGCCATCTTGAAATTGAATGAATGCAAAAAAAAATGACCAAGTAGAGTTGTTCCCAGTCCTTCCATCATCCTTTTTCGCGCTCCCATCAATGAACTCCCAAGTCGGCGAGGGCGGGCCCGCCCCATGAAGAATTTGTCCAAAAGTGATAGCTAATAAAATGTTAGATTATAGTGGATAAAACTGGAGCTTGTGGATGTTACGCACTGGATAAATTGGAGTTTTAAAACAAACTAGTTTTCTTCTCTTACTTTTTTCCCCGCCATTCGTGGTGTTCACGGTATCTTTTGTAAAAATTACGGAAGCGTATGAGGGCCATGTGCAAAACACCTATTCAAATTGGTATCTCCCCACGACGAGATCGTAACTCGATCGCCACTGCGAGATGAAACTTTTAACAATGTTACTGGTTTGGGTCCTTTTACATTTCCATGAGAAGTCAAGACCAATCCCACTTTATTTGTTGCATGGGAAATGGCAAATTTATAAAAGACTAATGAAGACAAGCCAACATGTGCATAATAAAATCCTCCCTAACAATGTTTTTTGTTCAATCAAATTGACTTTGTTTTCATATTCGAGGTCTATATGTGGCCAATGCAAGAAAGGTTTAGGTATCATGAACCCAACCTAACGTAACAACATTTGTCACATAAAATTATTCACAAATATAATTTCACTTGTGGGTGCAATAAATCATTGATGGATTGTTCATTAATATAACCATGGATGATATAACTCACTATCTTCAGGCAAACTTGAATTCTCAATTCTGATTGGTCGATCCATGGCAACAAACAGTGTGATATATAACTGTATAACACGGTTCATATCAACAGATTGTATAAGCCACGCGACTTCTTGGTATACATGCACGGGACACAGACGCACTACATTATTCTGTGTTCCACTCGCACTCGTGTGATAACACAAAACTGCTCAATTAAACTTTTAATTTCAACTAGAAGAATGTTTTGGGGTACTGTTAACGGAGACAAAATGTATTCGAATGTCTAATTTCGTCAACTGTTTTGTGGGTGGGGCGTCCATTCGAAAAGTTGGCAAAATTGTCCTCAAAGGTCTATTCACGCATTTTTGTAGTGGATGAAAAACTTTGGATTTTTGCGACAAAAATTCTCTGTGAGAAAACTCTCTTTTAAAAATCTACAAGCACAGAGACACGCCATCAAACCAAACTGTTAATTTCTTTCATCATTTAGCTTGAGCAGTCTGTAAATCAAAAATAATGGAGCGGTGAAACAATAGCGTGACGTCTCAGGTGGAGGTTAAGTCGCATAATACCCCCGGTACGCGACATTCATGGTACGGAGGGGCCCTACTCACGAATGTCGCATGCCTCGAGCATTATCCTCTACGTGACATAAATAACTATGCAGACTATACAGAACTGTACACGAGACAAGCTTAGGCGGTGGTGCAGCACGTTGAGGGCCGCAAAATAGTAGTCCGCCATTTATTATGTCTTTCGTATTCTGGCAACATATAGCACTTACTAAACACGGTTATTTCTGTTGAGATTTCGCATGTGCAGTATATAAACGTCATGCCTGATTTATGTTGTTCCAGTACCAATATGCTTTACGCTACTGTACGATTGAAATGATCGAACTCATGTAACACACGATCAAACGTACATGTACATTTACAACACACGTACATAAGTCGAGTATAGCAGTTTATTACAAACATCTCTGCTTAATACGAATTAATGAAAAATAAGTTATTATTGGGTCATATATTTGTGGAGCCCTTTTTATGAGACATGTTGTCGTACACCAGGTTGAGCTCACATAATTACAACTGAGTTAGTGCGTTGATTAGTTGTACTTGAGAAACAGCAATGGTTTTGTACAGAAAAGGTGTACAATCTAACTTCCTCGGAGAGAAACGACGTCCAGGAGAAAAAAAGACGGAAAATCTAAAATGCTCTAAAAATCTGCACTCTCCTCCGTGAAAGTGTAGGGCATTACCTTGGACAGATGAAAAAAAAAACACAACTGTTCAGTTATTGAGATGTCTGTCCCTGGCATCATTGATGCCATTTCGACACGATTAGCTAGTGGAAGCATGTCAAAATGATCAAGCAGGGCCAACGATGTTTTAAACGATATAGTGAAAAAAAATTGAAATCCAAAAAAAGCTTTAATAAAAAAGCAAAAATATGCGTCTTAAAATGAGATGTGTGAGCAGCGCCACCACCCTTTTGAGGTGATTCAGTCTCCATAATTTGACATCTACACACCCGGTACGTACTAGCCAGGGGGTTTTTTTTGCCAGCTGCAAACCAGAATATTTGTCTAGGTTAATTAAAGTACAGTACATGACAGGCTATGAAGACATCAGGAAGATCAATGGACTCCATCCTTACTGATGATGAAACTAGATGTTTATGTGTGTGTTTTCCTATCCGCCTTGAGCAGAAACACTCCTCCTCGGTTAAAAAGAGCCATGGTGGTCAGGAGTGTTCGTTTTAGACTTGCTGGTAGCGACGCACACTTAACACACACGTCATAGTCATTTGTAAACCATGACTACCACAGGAGCCTCCGTTGCTAGGAAAATCGCGCCCTCTCTAGGTTCAGCTTGGGGCCCACTGTGCTCAGCGACCATGGGTCCCCCACTGGCTCTACGAAAAGTGCACATGTAAACAAAGTGTGACGTTATCAGTACATACGCCTATTAGTGATTTTTCAACACCGCGTGCTTTAGTTTTAGTTTAACCATGAATCCATGGTCACTATCCTTGTTTTACATTTCATATGGTCCACCCCCCTCTACCTCGAAAATGTGTTCATAAATCGTTTGCCATCCGAATGTGGCTTCCGTCAATGTCAATTGACTATAATCTCTTCAGCCGGTTGCTCTGTGCCACTCTGCATACCACTGGCTACGCTGCTTTGAATACCGCCACCTGAAGTTTGTTCTAGGTCTGCATGAAAGATGTGAAATTATACACATTACAACTCATTCACAGCTTCTTTGGGGTCACATTTAAATGTAATAATTTCCTCCTCGATTAACTTCTTCGAAATCGGCTAGGGTTTTAAATCGAAAAAAGTTCCCACCTCGATCGCCATTATGGGGAAAGACAACAGCCTCTGAAGATTTCACTTCTGAATTTTGTCACGTGACCGATGTAGACGTCATTGTGACACAAATCAAGTTTCCATCTATAATACGCCCCTGACTGAAAGCATGCGCACATCGACTGAAATGGGACGTGAAGTCCCAAAAAGTTCCAAGTTTTTTCTATAAAAAAAAATAATCCCGATTCAATAAATCAGATAATCATATTGGTCCAAGACGAAATTCTCGTGCTTTTGGGAAAACCCACTGAATCGATTGATTTCACTTACGTTGGTGTGCAGCTTCCAACTCGTCATGGAAAACACATCTTGATTGAAGACTTTGCTCAGTAAGGCAGTCTGGGGAGAAAAACAATCAAAGTCTTATCATTGCAAACCTTTCTTACAAGGCTGACATGTTGGCTAGGCACGTTTCCTTTATACTGCTTGTGCTGCGCTTGTCTTGGTGGTTGTAGTCAAACAAACGGGTATTTGAAATATTCAAAGTGTCACCGTGTGCAGAGTGGCCAGCGGGCCCGATGAGCTAGCTTTGTACCAAAAATTCTGATAGAGAAGTCAAAAACATTAAAACAAAAATGGGGCTGCCCATAAGCGTTTGCATGCCAAATAAGAATATCAGTAAATATACCAAAACGCTTTTCTAAGTAAATTCTATCAAACACTTTTATCAAGCCTTCCGGAGATATGTCCTCCTGACCATGTTATCACTTAAAAAAATGAGTCTCTAAGGACTATCGCTACTGGAGGATCATATATAGTTGATGCTTTAAACCATTTTCTATAAGCTTACTATCAAAGAGGAACGCAAAAAGGAGTAACCACACTGGCCACGCGAATATTAAAAATCTAAAGTTTTCTTCAGGCTTCCAGCCCAACACAGACATACCAGTGATCAAGATTATCCCGAATTGTGTGCGTTTGCAATCCACAGCGACAGCCCTGATATTCAACACTACAGTGTGTAATAGTGTGGGACCATAAACTACTGCATTATTTTTGGCTAGAGATGGAAGTTGGTGTTCTTCCGCCGAGTGTCGGATGACTTCTTAAACGTAATTACTCATGGCTCAGACTCACTCTCCACTACAATTTCCACCTGCGCTGCCTCTGCTCGGACTCCTCCCACATGGGCTGTGCACGTGTAGTTGCCGCTGCTGATGTTGTGAGTAGTCACCCTCAGTTCCAGTAGTCCGTTGGACAACCTTGTTTCTCGTGCCAAATGTTTGTTCCGAGCACAAAAACTTGCGCTGTCATCTGCACGTGCCAAAGGTAGAGGGGATTATGGGAACTAATTTGATTCGAGTAATGATTTACAGGTTTAGCCAGAGTTCACTTGGATGGGGCCGGATCTTTAAAAGACTGCGTGGCTTGTTAGCTTCATATGGAAGAGTTGTATAAAGACTTAATCTGCATGACTACTGTCTGTCTCGTAGCAATAATTCTCAATCTTCATTCACAGAGTCCAAATTATATTTCGATTCAGTCACAATCCCACTTCGATGTGCTTGCTCGCGCACTGATCAAGTTCTTTGAAGATTCGCAAATGAAAACGAGGTCAAATGGCATGTTTCAGACGATCGAAGTGCCCTAAGAAAACTGAAAATAAAGTGTTCGGTTTTTGTTATGTTTACATTGCTTCCACTGTATTTCTTAATAGCGCCCTCCTTGGACCGGTAATCTGAGAACCATGCTTTACACTCATCCATAGACAGTGGATTTCTCACAGTGAATTTGTGCATCGTTTTCCCACATTTTCAGGGCACAAATTTTCCTCTCGCTCCTTGCTGACTGTATACAGCGCCTAGTGAAGCATTGCCTGTAAGTTGATTCCAGTTTCATTCCTTATCAAGAGGTGTTTCAAGTAGTTTAGAGGCCTTTATAACATTCGGTTTCATGTCAAGTTTGCCTTGTTTACACATACATGCATATACTATATGTTGACATGTCGCATAAGGATGCAACAACATATAACACACCAAGTGACCGGCCCACGTGTTCATGGGGGTGTGTGTGGCTATTTTCTGCACTTATAGGCCTGTCGAATAGACATATTTAGGGCTCCGTGAGCTCAGTATTTACATGTACATGTACTCGCTCAACTAGTTATTAGCATGAATCTCAGTGTATTTTGACTAGAGACTCGTACATGTACATGTGTAGTGTTTGTGTATTAATACTGTAGTACACGTATCCATAGCTTGTGTTTTCTTGTTTACTATGCGGTTTTACTCCATGTCAATGACATCATCATCCACTGTGACCAAATACGGGAGCTACATGTGGAGCTATTTCCTGACTCCCATTTCGTCAGTGATAGGAGTTTGGCTGGCTGCCAAATTGAGATTAGAAACATCTTAACTTAAGGAGGGCAGTACAGGTTTTATTCCGTATGCAAAAATCGGAACCCAGAACACTGCAATGGGCTTTCCAAAGACACACAGTACGGATCAGCGCATTGCATATTTAGCGATATCTTTATAGCAAACTACGGTTCTTGTTTTTTTCCCCGGGGGAGGGGGCATTACCTGGAGTTATCAGAAATCAATTTTGAAAGGTACATGCGCACTGTAAAAACGGCAGTTACGATAAAAAGACATTTCAAAACAAATTTTGTACCGGTATGTCTTGCCGGGCAAGCTTTGTATTCGGTTCGGTAAAATGGCTGCTAGTGGATTCAATGATCTCTATTAGCTGATTAAGCCGGCATTGCTAGTCCAGATTTTTTAATATACGCCCGAGTAGTTGGGGCGTAACATTTATAAATTATAAGCCCGCCTATACTGAAAAATATAGTGAATACTTTGTAGGAACCATGTTTAATTCAAAGTTGGCGATGGACTTACAGCTATAAGCTTTCTGACGGTCCAATATTTACCGGCAGACCGAAAACTAGTCCCTTTATCATATAAATTGGGATCGTTAGTTTTCGTGATTTGCATAAGAAAGACTGTTACTTTTAGAAATGTCATGGGTGAAGGAAGCGCTGGCTGCTGGGCCAGGTCCCATGTCTGTGAATGAAAGAAATAAACATGGGTGTTATGAAAAAGTACAATATATCCAGACACTGACCTTTGGCCCAGGATAAGGTGACGTACTGGTCGGAACACGCTGGACCTAGATTGACTTCACAATACACGAAGACATCCTTGTTCGCACAGGAAACAATACGGCTCGTCGTGGGTTGAACAAGAACTGTGTTTCAGCCAAAAGTATACGAAACGAAAGATGGGTTTGTTGGCAAATAAAACGTGACTGAACTATGAGAATGAAAACAGCATGAAATAAGCTCAAATTTTGTTGCATTATTTGTGCAGATAATTTTCCCCTTCAACGAGCAAGAGAACTTGCGGTGAGAAAACAAACAATTGGTATGACCAATGCATATCAAAGTTACCAAAAAGAGAGACCAAGGTTCAAGATGGGAGTTGGATCTGCTAGTCTCATGTCCCAACACGCTCTTGGAGAAGAATGTGTTCAGTGTCATGAAGTTCAACATTTCTGGCGCTCTGTAGTGAACTGTCACCCGAACAACCTGTTCGTGGTGTGCATATGCCGACCTATCACAATTAATGAGTCACTACGGGCGATTCACAACAGGAGACCTACGCGAGTTTGCAACGCGTTGGCTAATCACGACGCGCGAAATCTATCTACTCTTTCCAAACGCACACTGGGTCGACAGATTTCGCGCACAATGACTGGCCAACGTGTTGCAAACTCTTGGAGGCGCACTATTGTGAAATGCCCATATTGTAAGAATTAATGACTAGTAGCATGCTTTCAGTGAAAACGAGTTAACCATGGTGAAATATAGTTCTTATTCCAACTTGCTTACGTCAGGCTGGTTCCCAGACCTGAAAATTCAACATGTGGCAGTTTACCAAATATTCGATTTCGTCTCTGTCAGAGGCTTCATCTATTTTTTCACCACCTGACTTTGAAGTTGTTAGATTAATACGAAGTCCAACAGTGTCAGAGAAATATGAAATCAGAAGCTGACGAGCAATATATGCACTGCAGTGCTTCAATTTAACTTGAACGCGTCAGGTCCACAACGCCTCAGGTCCACAAAGCTTCAGGTGCAGGAGCCTGAACAGAGCTGTCTAGGAAAACGATATAAGTATGGCAGCTGCCGCTAATGAATGTAGAAAATAACGTAATCTAAGATCGATAACGAAATGTCTGTGATTCAGAGTGTACATGTATGTCTGTTAATAGTTGAATAGGTTAACCGTTGTCAGAAGGTATGCCAATTAGGAAAAACCATAAATTAGGATAATGAAGATTGTAAGAATCTTGTAGCACGCCAGAAATTTACACATTGTTCTAAGCTATTTAAGATCAGGAATGAGAATTGTATATCAGAAAATCAGAAAACATGGGTTCGGAAACTTTCGGCCAGTTTTGCAAATTTTCGGTAACGGGGGGAAATTCTCCCGTTTTTGTCACGAGATGCTACCGGACTATTAGAGTTACATTTCATGATAGTGGGGCCACAAACTTTAGAACTTATTCGTGTAGCCTTCAATGATCTTTCTGGGGGGTGAGGCTTGGTGCTTGGGAATAAATGGAGCCAAAAGCGCCTTTCGCTCATTTTGGTTTTAGTTTATAATTTGTTGGCTCTTGGGGAAGGAGGCACAGCCCCCGGTGCCCCCCTCCGCCCAACATGCAGACTTAATTCAAGTCAAGGTTGTCAGTGACTATTAAAGCTTAAATGCACTTACGTCTTTGCTGTTCGATGACACAATTCGGATCTGCAGGTGCACTGATATCAAAACCAAATAAAATAAAAGCTGTAATTCACCCGCACCAAAACACAAGGCAACAGTGTACATGTACATGTCATTCCAGCGATGGAGAAAGTCAGACCATTGGGCCGGATACATATATAGAAACTAGAAATTGCTTTTTCTAAGCTTTTGCTTACCGGTTTACGATTTTGTATATAAAATAAGTAACTGCTGACAAGCACTTGCTTCTTCTTTTAAGCAATCGCTTATGTAAGTAGCATTTGCTTACAAGTAATGAGTTTTGCTGTAAAACGAATTATACATACAAACAACCCTTTGTTCATTCAGCGTTTACTCATTGTGTTAGAAGTTTTGCACATGGTAGCTTGACCTCTTGCTTAGTACAAAGATGCGAGACATCAGAGAAAATGTTACCATGTTTACGCCTGTTTGAGAGGTCCGGGCTAGGCCTAAGGTGCGAAGAAGTGTTTTTGGATGAGCTTGACCCAAACTACACTCGGCTATTGGTCACATTTGTCAGCAGTTTGATCATTACTCTGTGCAGCCATTTTGGAAAGTGTGTGGGGATGCGCAGCTAAACAGCCTTCGCTTTAAAGCACACCTCACTGCATATCTGGAATGTTAAGACCACACAAGCAACTGCTTGACAAGCTTGAGAAAAAGTACTTGGTCAAAGCAATAAGTTATTTTTACTTTTTCTGCGGTTGCTTTTCCTTTTTCTTCTACTTCATGAGGCTTCTGCCTAGCTCGGTGCTTCTGCTCATTAGAAATGGCTGTTTTTTTATGTAATAGGCCCATTGCGAAGCCTAAACAAGCCATCGTCAAAGACATTTCTTCGTGGCACGATGGGTGTATCACTGTACTGAACTTCAGTTGTGGCTTTGTTTGTTATTACGGTAGCTGTTTTACATCTCTGCATTCACCGTGTTCATTCTGAACATATGTGACTCTGCAGACTTTGCATCACACGGTTTTTCATTTGCATGTAAACAGATGTATGGGGGTATTAAAATGACTTAACCAAACCGAAGAACTTTAAATCGCAACAGTGGCGTAACGGGTAAAAATTTGTAGGGGTTCCCGCGGTGCACACATTTTTTTTTTCTGAGGGCACCGGTAACCGATAAAATGGGACTGAAAACACGTCCGAAGTTGTGTACATTATAAAGATTCAACTTGGGGGTCCATGAGGGTGGGGGTACATGAGGGTGGGGTGCATGCAGGTGGGGTGCGCGAGGGTGGTGGTGTATATGGGGGGGGGCACGCGTCGGACCCACTGCTTGACCCCGCCCCCCGTACATGTAGTTAAACGACAGATGCAAATTCAGCCAACAGGTCCGTTAACATTTCGTTTATTCGTTTTTCAATTTCAAAATGAAAAAAAAACATCGAAAATCAGGTCGTTTCTCTTTTTTTAAATTTGAAAATGAAAGAGTTGGAAAAAGGATTGTGATACCGGCAATTTATACACACCTAATATTTGTAGAGATCATCAATGCAATGTACTTCTTCGAGTGTAGTTGCTTTTCAGAATGTGAGAAAATTCTTGTTGAGTCTGCTCTGGCTTCCTTCCTTCGTTAGCAACGACTTAAATGGAATCTTTTATTTCAGACATGTTTAATTCACGAAATACGGGAGCTACAAACTCAGACGTTGTAATCCTACCTAATGAAAATTTAACTGTTCTTCAAAAGGTTTACCGAAAAATTAACCTGTCATTCGTTTTCACATTTACAAATAAAAAAAAATCGTTTTCATTCTTGAAACAAAAAACAAGAAACGGAATTATTTCTCTTTTTTCGTTTTTAATTGGAAAAACGAGAAAAGACTTCCATCAATTTTTGTTTTCATGTTAAAAAACGGGAGACGAATTGTTCCTTGAGATTTGTTTTTAAATCGAAAATGAACGAAACGTACACGGATTGTACTGCGTTGATAATCAATATTCCAACATGCAAGCGTGCCCACAAAGCTCAATTTATTGAGTTTTGTGTCATAAATCATTGCTCACAGCTGAATCGGTGCTTACCAAGAACAGTTTGAGCCATTCCACGAACAGTCTGGTCCCTTGATTTTACATTCATCTTCATAGCGAGCTGAGGATATTTTTTGTGGTGTGACTGAAATGTCTGGAGAGCTGAAATGGACAATAATAGCGACCATTTCAAAATTAAATTGTGCGAATACGGGATTGGTTTGCGGCTCGGAAGTGTGTGGAGTGACATCACAATGTTTTGTGCAGTTATATTGTGGGCCTGTACTCGACTTAATGGGAACCGTCCATTGCTTATAGTTTAAAAAGAGAGATAAAATAGCCGAGTGGAATGGTGATTTAACGAGCAAACTAACCAGCCTCATCGCCAGTTACAGGCATTGTGGAGGGGGAGGGAGGAGAGCATAGTACCAGGTGGGGGCATGTCACAAGAACAATAGATAATTTGGGTGCTTGTGGGGGCAAGCTGCTCCCTGGAGGGGCGGGGCGGCCCCTCCGGGCCCCCTTTTGGCTACGGGCCTGACTAAGCCAGTCGAGCCAAACCAAGCCAAATCAAACCAAACTAAACTAACCCAAACCAAGCCAAACCAAACTAAGCCAAACCAAGCCAAGCCTAACCAAACCAAGCCTAACCAAACCAAACCAAGCTAAATCAAACTAAACAAAGCCAACCCAACCCAACCAAACTAAACTAACCGAAACCAAACCAATTATCCAAATCAAGCAAAACCAAACCAAACTAGATCAAACCAAGCTAAACGAAACCAAGCCAAACCAAACCATGCTATACCAACTAAGCCAAAACAAACCAAATTAAACTAAACTAAGCGTAACTAAACCAAACCAAAAACCAATACCAAACCACGCCCCACCAAACCAACCTCATCTAACCCACCCTACAGTCTTACATTGGGGAGAGTAGCCATGAGATGACACTCTCTTCCGTCGTCACCACCAGAAATTTGCGAGAGCCCCCAGTGATCAGCTCCAGCCCTGTCACGGTGGTTCCATCTGTCCCCTTTCAAGGGCATGAAACACAACAGCTGAGACATGCACGAATACATTTTGATATATGTCACCCTGATAATAAGCCGACTCGTGAGTTTGAGTACCAACTATTTGCAGCCCAATATTTGCCTATAATGAAAATCCACAAATGTACAGTCATTGGTGTTAAGTAGGGTCTTAGGAAGTCACAAAATTAATATCTTTTTACCCAGTGGTTTTCACTGTCTCTGTGTACACAGGGCTTTTTCCCCTGTACACACTTTTGGGACAACCACTGTACATAAAGTGGTAGGTTAACAAGATATCGCTTACGGAGACTTCACCATGCACTTCATCTGCACCGTTGTTAACCAACAACCACTAAATTTGCTGGTCTGGTTCTGCCGGCTAACTACAATGTCATTAGTAGCCTTGAGTGGATACAGCAACTGTAATAGCTAATGTTTTAAACAAACCTTTGCATCGATGTTTACTTATTGCTTGCTAAGCACGACTATTTTTAATTACCCTGCGCGATTACACGAAAACAAGGCGGAAGTGGCACGCATCTGTCGTAGGTGTTTTAGAAATAACCTGTATGTACCCTTAACAGACAATTAATTTTCAAAGGGGATGGTATCTTACCCGCTGCCATTGCTTAACATATGCAAGAACAAAGAACTGCATCAGAACGCCATGAGAGATACATTAGTATAAAGTGGGCTCTGTGAGAAAGTTCGATCAGTGACATTCATTAATAAACCATTAATTAAATTACTGATCGATTTAGCCTAGTGCCTGGTAACATACAGGTTACCAGTCAAAATCGACCATTGGTTGACAGTCTGTGGCCTACCGAACTTGCTCTCACAGACGTTGCAGCCTAGTCATGGTGTAAAAAAAGGCATTCGGATCGGGACGGCGATCATTCAGTGATGACTTTGGTTCATCGACACCAGAACCCGCCTAATGAATCGAGCGCACCACCTTTGGGATCGCTGATCGAGATCCTCATGATCCGCGCGAAACTAACAAACCCCAAATGTGTGCAACTTATTGGCCAGTACAACGAAGCGCCCTCCCATGGCATAATTTGCATCCACATTGTGAGGAGACCGAGTGCTTACAGGCACGTGCAGCGTGGCTACATTTGAGCAAAATTAGCACAGCTTACCAGCTCAGTGATTTCAACGGTTGTAAACGGCTCGGTTGCATTGTCGCAATCGTACCTGAAAGCTCTGATCACAGTTCCATCGGCTGTCAACAAAAAGGTACTTCCATCAGAACAGAAGAGTAAAACCCTACCCTTTGCATCGAAGCCGCAAAGTACAGAAAGGATTTATACCTACATACCGCAGTGGACTGGACAACTTTTCACTACGCTACTGCATTCTGGGCAGTCCTTTTTTGAGTAAAAAAATGTTTACTGCAATATGACGAAGCGATTCAAGAATCTAGGTTCTTGACAACAATTATTGGCAAAGTACTCTGACATTTGATTCTGGTGAGGAATCTGAGTACGTCAACAAAAGGTATTCATAATAATGCAACTTCGCGAAAGGATTCAGCAAGAATTTGAGTCCATCTTCAAAAATGTGGGCATGCACTAAAAGGTACTTCAAGTTTCAAAAATCACCTCATTTTTCTATTCTTTTTTTTTTTACTTTTTCTACCATGTCTCGCTCACATCTCAACAGCACTGACCACGAAACACAATAAAGCCACAAAACAAGGGCAATGTACTTGTAGCCGATGGATAACGTAACTCCGACCGATCTACGGTACACCAAAAATTAACCGATACTGCAGTATCGGTTAATTTAGGTATATTGTCGATCTCACCAACCGATAATCCATCACAAATTGACCGATAGTATGGTAAAATTTCTAACCGATAATTTTTCATGTGTCGATGGATATTCAACCAACAATTTACTGAATAATTGACCAGTATGGGAAAAAGTGTGAATGTTAGAGACTGAAGTCAGAATAGATCACGTTCTTACATGCATTGGCGTTGCCACTTAATACAGAGCAAGTTTGGCTAGAAATAAATGAACAATTTCAGGCTTTGATATCACATTTTTATTTATAGTTGCACCAACATGATCCAAACCGAGATTTAATTTTAAGTTTATTATTTTCCAGGCATGTTTAATACCATTAACAAGTGGCATGTGTATGGCAAAAATGATCGTGTAACTTCACTCTAAAACCTTCCGAGTCGGATTGACCAAGAATTTGGTCTTATTCGGCGTTACCCTTTTCTGGGTCAAAATATTATCCCCTTTCGGGTCATTTTGACCCTTTCCGGGTCATAATTTGACCCTTTCTGGGTTCAGTGTTAAAAGTTTAACATTTCTTTGGGATTTATACCCAGCAATTGATCCTTAAATTAGTCAACTACTCCAAAGTCAACCGCTGTGAAAGATTGAGGTTTTAAGGAGCAGTCGCCTATTGAGGCAGTCCCAGTTAACGCCATATAGAAGCATTTAACACATCGTTAAACACGGTGGTGACTGCATTGTCGATTGTAATTCGCCGTCGGCAAGCAGCTCCAAGGCAATACGTACTGGACTGGAGGAGCATGCACTTCTAATCAAAGCCACTATCACAGTCACATTCAATGCTGTGCTACCCCGAAATAAGTGATTTAGAGCTATCCTACTTGAAACTTAGTGAATGAGACATCTGTCTATGGTGTTAGCACAAACACGCAAAAATTTGCAAATCTGTGTTGCTTACTTGTCCCAAAATAGTAGAGACAACCGTGATCGAAATCGACGGCCAGGCTGGTAAAGTGGACTCCGTTCACGTAAAGTGTGGGTGCATCAGACTGCTTAAGATTGTCTGGTGGGGGAGGTTGATCTCCTGGGGCCGGTTCCAGGGGGTTATAGTTGGGCACCAACTTGTCCAGCAGCGGAGGATAATCTGTGGTATGCACTTCATGGCACTGGTAAAGAAAATGAAAACAATTTTCTTTCACCAAGTTCACAAAGTATACTAGTACATGTCATATGCTCTGTTTGTTTTTGTTAAGTCTACCTAGAATAAAACGTACTTTGTACCTGTGGTTAATCGAGGACATATGTGTGTAAAACATTCTTTTGAAATCGAGGACAAGGATCCAATCGAAGACGTCCACATTGGAAAACATGTACAAAACGAATGCTAGCCGAGCTATTGCAAAAAGGCTAGGTATGTTTTGGTCAAGTGGAGCTAACTTCCCATGTGCAAAAGCAAACCAAATGTATGTTTACATTACTGGAAAAATCGATGTACATGTAAGAACATGTAAATATTATTCAATTCATTTTTTCGGTGTATAATATACAATGTATATGATGGTCACCATGAGAGAGTCATGAGATTACATGTAGCTGATGTGGTAGGTGCTTTGCACCGTGCAAAAACACTGGGCAAAAGGTCAAAGGCCATAATCGTCGATCATACTCATGAAACACCACGCGGATCAGCTTGTTTACAAGATCGTGGCAGGGCATGATACTCCTTATGAAGATGTTCAGGAATCTAGACACACTGTTCTTCCACAAAGCTATATAAAATGGAGCGCTGCTTCTGGTTTCCCAAGCTGAGAAGCCTTGGTGCAATTTCGAGTGGACATTATGAATTAGTGTTTGTGTACAAACGAATTCCAGGTGTTAAATTCAACGAACAAGTACAATGTATGCAAACTACAAGCCTCAGCAAAATTCACAAAACGTTCGTTAAAACTGATTGTGCATATACATTTTTGGCGCGTAGACTTTGGTGGCGCATCGTTTCAAAGAAGGGCAACAGACACAGATCTGTGAATAGCCGTATACACAAGCTGCGTAAAATCTGGAGTTTTGTTTACACACAAATATGGATGCAGCTAGCGGGCTTCACTTTACACAGCAACTTGGAGCCCCGGAGACTATTTCACACAGTAGGCCTATTGATGTATTATGAAAATCTGTGGTACCACAAATTATGTCGACACGGTGCTTGCTTAAACCATCTCCCGGCTTTAGAAACCCTTTCAAGGGGAATTCCACAAATGTAAGTCTAAATTCCGGGGGAAATTTACGGTAGAAACAATGAGGCCTTGCCATGATTTAATTTACATCACTGCATTCACAACACACGTATGTTCACTCCTCTGCCTTTGTACACTACTTATTTGAGAGTTAGCGCATGCGCACTCGATCACTTTACTGTGGATTTCGAAGCACGCGACCTGGAAGACCGTTTCGACACATATTTCCGCGGATGGAGACCATAATTTACCTTTAGCAAAATACAAAGAAAGTTCACGGAGTAGCCTGATAACTAAAAACAACATTATACCACCGTATAAGATGAACCCTTTTGCACAAAATTTGAAACAAATTCCGAAAAGGTGACTTTAACAAAATAAAAACGATCAGATTTGAAAGAAATGTGTCCACGGTCTTTCCCGTTTCAAAATCACTTCTCCACTTATCCAAACAAACGGAATAAGTGTCGTGTGTATTAGCACCCGATAAAAAAAATCGCTATTTTTTAAGTTATTGCGAACTGAATATTTTTCACGAGAATCATTTGTCCCTAGTAGTGTGCTTGTACATGGTGCCTTGTGCGGTACCGGATGGAAGGTACCCCACAAGGCCAGTTTTGATCCTTGTGGGGTTCTATTTCACAAAATAAATATTTCAAATTTACTCAAAAAGGAGGAATTTTCGAGTGGCATTCATCCGTCGCAAATTGAACTGTTTTATATAAGGGACATACGGTCGAAATTTCAACCCAGGAAACTGATTTTGATTGAAAAGGCATTGGTTTGAAATTTTTTCCGTGTTGTCTGGGAGTTTTGTACATGAGAACGAAGGAAATACCCCACAAGTATAAAAATGCAAGGGTTTGTGCATGTATTCGTGCGTTGACGGAGTAAGTGTACGTGCACACATGCGTGTGACGTATTTCCTTTACTAAAATCTATGTGAGGCCATCAGCCCTTCCCAGCGCCCTTTTTTGGGCGCTGAGTGACGGGCGTTCGAACAACGGTGGGTCCTCACGTAGTAACTGCGCATCGCAAATGCAAAATGCAAATGACCATGAAACGCAAGCGTTGCAGTCGCATCGCTAACCAACAAAATGAACACTCCCGACTAGCATGGCTTTTTTCAGCCAGTAAGGGGGTGCTTGTGCTCAGGGTGGATTAGCACACTGTGTTGGTAGCGTAGGGAAACAGAGGCATTTTTGTACATACTGTTCCAGGCCTGGGATCTGTCACAGCTTGTGGCAGCCACATGCGGTTGACGTTACCATTAAGCTGTAACTTGTATTCACCCTCGTCAAACAGCTGCATGATGTCCCTCATCCTGTAGCGGCAAAGAGCTGACGCTTTCGGTCCTTTTCTGAAACAGGACAAAAACACGGCAAAGTGAGTTCACTCAACATGAGACACTATTTTCTAGAGAAGCGTGCATCCAGAAAGCACGGCTCGTGAAAATCCAAACATAAGGAAACGACAATCTCACGCCACTTGAAAACTAACGCTCCTTCACCACAGATGTCTTTTTAAAATGTTTACCCTACTACGTGATATATGGGGGAAGGACACCTGCCCTCACCAGTAGCCTGTGCCCCCGCGTGCCCCCAATTTGAAGTGTACAGGACCTATGTGCAAGCCGTATATAATTCACTGGCTTTTGGTGCCCCCTGACAAAACGCGTGCAGCCCGAGTGCCCCCTTGAGTGCCCCCTAGTTATGCCACTGCTCGAGCCATCCATATCTGCACTTTACCAACATTTTTATTTTGTGGGTTCCCGGCTCAAAGTCATTGTTTTTAAGTGCTTGTCACCACGCCATGAAGCTCCGAAAAAAAGGGAAACTGAAAAACTTTGGTAGCACCGAACATTAAAATGCTTCATGAAAACTGTATAGTACAAAGCAACATTTTGTTGGCTCCAAAATAAAAGATCCTTGAGACAGTCACATGAGGGTTTTTTTTTTGGGGGGGGGTTGGCCAAAACTCTTAGGGCTTGTTCTGAGGAGCTTGAAAGAAATAATAAGTTGTGACAGAGCAAGTTCCAGACTGTATTATATGTGCTATTAAATTTGGGAGTCACTTAAATTTCACCAAATTTTTTGCCAGATTTCGTGTTTAAATCAATATTTTCATTACGGACCTTTCATTTTTTTTCAATGCGGAGTTTAGAGTATGGTGTATACTGGCCATTTTGAAAATCCAAAAATGTCCTCATTTTCAAAGCTAAATCAAGTTAAACCTACGATGGTGACGTGAACACAGCATATGCTTCGGGGTCTCCATTTGTGTCGGTCCATAATACATCCTCTGAAAATAACAAAACAACTTTTAGCACCTTTTAAACAATAACTTGATTGTTCAAGCACCTGAAGGTTTTAGTTACAATTGTCAATGTAATGTTAAAATCTTTTCATTCTCAGCATCACCCCTGGTTGCGAGTTCTTAGATGCATTTCCTTGTACATGTGCATACCTAACGCTGGAAATACGATGTACACGTATACAGTACACGGCGTACGTGCTTTGTTTCTACCTACGGCACTTGGCTTCCAGAGCCCGCATGCATACTGAAGCTCTACTGTCATTCAGAAATGAAGTTTCTTATTTAAACATTACTCATTCAAAGTCATCGTTTCTGAGAATCAAACCAAAATTCATGACTAAGAGTTTCCTGTCTTAAGATTTCTGTCTGCAACTACATCCTGTTTATGAAGCCCTGCCTCGTGGAAAGTTCGTTAGACTAAGACACGGAGTAAGAGAAAAAAAGTTTTCCAACAGTTCAATCTTATCAGTTAATCTGTTCAATTTTCTGGTAAACCCAAGTTAAATGACAGTCTTCAGAAATGTAGTAGTCATAGTATTTCTTGACAAGTACTTCTAGCTCACTTGCAGTTCTACCGCAAACTTTTGAGTCATTGTGGAATAAAATCATGGTTATACAGGTTGACAAGATTAACTTCCTTCACTGCAACAAACAGGCAACGCACCTCGGTATACAAGTGACTCTCTTATCTATACATTTTGGACAGCAATGGCAATACAGTGTTTATAAAAATCGAACAGGTGTTCGATTTGACCTTGTCTCAAGCCTGGATTCTTTTCGTTTCTTTTTCGGGCCTATGACAAAAATCTGCAACTTAGACAACATCACTAATGCGAGTATCCAAAACACTTTTTTTAATTCAAATTATAGCATTATTGCAATAATTTATTTTCTGATTTAAGGTCAAGAAATTTCATATTTGAATACTCCTGCGTTACTGATTGTTAGGAGAATAATGGATGGCTAAATTAAGACAGGAGTTGAAGATTCCTTGCATAATTTGAAATTTATTCACCAGGGTAAAACAACGCCCTGTGTTCCCTGCAGCCTCTTCCAAGCCTCAGAGAAATGCTATTTTAGTATTATCATTGTGTTATATGATATTAAACGAATCCCCTCGAGATGAGCACCTACGTATTTCATCGAACTCGTAAGGGAACAGTTCGTCTGGAATGGAGCAGTTGAGCCGCGCCTTGATGAAAGTGACAAACTTCTGGGTGTTCACGGGGCCTCCTGTATCACTCTAAGAGAGAATTGCACGAGAATGAGTTTTCAACGACCACTGACGGGTAAGCTTCCTTCGATGGTACCACAGATGCAGAGCAATATCAATTTACTACAGAGCTGAGCCTAAAAGGGAATGGAATTTGGAATCTGTGATGAGCTATATTGTGCAATCCCTGGAGGAACAACAGTCAGCTTTCTCATTGACAAGGCAGTAAAATCCATCTGCACGTGTTCACACGTGTGTATTGTTTCGCACGTAAGAGCAATAAATTCTGATCTTGGGTGTGGGCCTGTTGCATCTCATAACTCAAAATTTAGTTTTGGAATGCAAATGCAGAGAAACATAGTGACTCGAAAATGCCCCTTGAAAGCGTAACGAATTCAGTTCCTAGCTTGTATTTGTGTCAAGGTTATGTGGACTGATCAGGTTTGCCAATCACCTGGAACAAATAGAAAATGACTTACAACCAATTAATTTTTTTTGGGGGGCAGGAAATTTGAGATTTCGGTAAGCCGAAACAAGGCCGGGACAAGCAGTAAGATTGAGAGAGTTTGCCAAGTGCTATTACAATTGATCTGGTTTCTATTCAACGCGTAATTCAGAAAGCAGGTGAAAATTGAAGTGTCTTCCTTCTCAATTAAGATACAGTTAATTTCCATTCTCAATCAGAAAATAATGGTAAAGATTTTTCCATCAATTTCCTTTTAATGGAAAGGGGGAAATACACTGCTTATAAAACCCCCAAAACATTCAACATTTCTCCCAACAGGCCTACAGCCTTGTAATAAGAAGTTAAAGCAATGTCATGTTAACAGTTTATAAGCATCAGGAACCCAGGAAGATGTGCCTTGCCCCTGTTTGCTGTCTTCCTGTCACCTCCTGATGAGTCCCCAGACCTACCTGGCATACTCTCGCGATTCTCGAGTACAGTTTCTCCCCGAGGTTGGAATATTCCTCGGCTCTCTCACGGTAGAAAGTGAAAACATATTTATTACCGCTGCCGTCGGTGTAGCTGAAGGGTTTACCCACAAAGACAGGCGCTGATATGATTTGGAGTAAAACAAAAAGAGCCAAACATGAACTTGAAATGTAACAAATAAGAATCACTATATACGACTTGCCGATCCACTGAAATGAAAGAACAAGACGAATTTCAGGATCTTGCTTCTGACGTCAAATCAAAACCCTTCTTTCCACAACATTAAGTTGAAACACTTGGTATTTATTTCAAACGATGTCTGAATAAAACTGAACAAATCCCAAAAATCATTTTTATAACCCTCCGCTTTATCTGTAAGACTTAGTCCGGAAAATTAGTATGACCCGGCAATGGAAACTCCATTTACCATGGAAAGAAGTTCCATATCTGCCGTGTAGCTGTGTTGTGCTGTGGGATAGATACGATAATTGAAACAACGTGATCAACATTCCCCCAAACAGATGCATAAACATCACTTATTAAACAACATAAACATCATCTGGAAATTTCCTCATCGGGCAGAAGACAGAACACCACTTTCTTTTTATCTATATCACGGGTAATTAAATATTCGACGGTAACAACGTTGAAAAAAGCCCATGTCTCGTGGTCGACGACCTACTAACCAGACGACTAGTACTTATTCACGTGTTTTATAAAGCTTGATCTTCGAGATGTGTAGCGGTCACAAACACGTTTAGCACAAAATGTGTTGAAGCTGCCACATAAGTTACTTCACTGTTATACACAGACGTTACTGTTTACCGTTGCTTTGAAAACTAGTACCAGCTTTATGTATAATATATTATGTGGTGAAATGTATACGCTGATACACTGCTAGCAATCTAAATATAAACCATCGTCCACATAACTCAGCCTGTCTATCTTAATTCCTATTTCGTGGGCAGGACTTACTGTTAATAAATCTAAGGCCAACAGTTACAGAATCCAATTCAAAAGTAGCCGTTCCATAGTCATCCAGACTGTAACGTTGGAAGGTTTCGGTAGCGGCATCTCCTCCATACAGAACGTCTCCTGCTTCGTGGTCTGAGAATTGATAAGAAAACAATTTATTTAGAATTTTGGCCGGAAAAAGCACATTAGAATGAGTTTAAATTGTTAATACAAAAAAGGGTTAAACTTAACAATGGAATCCACCGTTTATGCTTAAATTGTATAATATGTTCAAATATGGAAAGTGAGATTTTCTGCTGTATCTTATGTAACTTGGCATTTGGTTTCCACTGTTTAATTTCCTTCTCACTGTTGTCCAGGAAGCTGCCTCGATTTGCAAAAAAAAAATAACAATTACATTTTCCACATTTTATTAAACTACTAAACGGATAGTTCGTTAAACATCATGTATGTATGCATGGTCATTGACTCACTGGGCATCCCTTACTTTTAAAATACTTATAACATATAATGAGGAATGTCTGTGTTTCTTTCTGTGTAATTTGCATGTTGTTCTTTTTAAGAAACTATGTGTTTTTAAAAAGTGTTCCTCGGTTTCAATAACTCGGTTCTGATATTTATGCATTGTAGTGTGTTTAATGGTTACTTTTGTCAATGAATTTTGCTTTTGTAATGATTTCTAATGTTGTAATTTTTACTTCAAATCAGGTTTGATTTTCACTGTAAATTGGCCTCTGGCCGCAAGAGAAATAAAAACAAAACTAAATTTAACACAATGACAAATTCTGGCGAATGTGCTGAAAATAGCTATAATGTTGAATTTCTTCCTGACGTTTTGTCCCCAAAATATGCAAATTCGCATCAGCATAGAAATAAAAATTGACAAAGACAACATTAAAAATAAGGCTAAATGGGACATGAAATTGCATTACACGAGGGCTGTATCTACATGGATTCCTGAAGGGTCAGTATGTGCATTTCTTCAACACTCGTCTTACATTTTTTACATGCGGAGTAAATGCCAAGGAATTCAGAAAAAATCTGCAGAGCCAGTACGGATTTAGTTCACAATTGCCATTCAAGATACGTGTCATGACTGGTTGCCAACTTTATTGAAAGCTCACCAGATAAATACTGTGCATTGTGTAACAACTCCTACATTTTGTCTGAAACTTAACTTGGCTCAGACCAACCCTCGATATAAAGACGGTAACACGGACCAACAATTATGAGATGTACAAAGTCTACGGACATGAGAGTTTTCTCATTCCACAAGACGCAAGTGGCTTACCAAAGACAGCTACTGATGGATTGACATCAGGCAGTAAAGGTACTAGAACTGGTGCGAAGCCAGGCACTCTAGGACAGTCCACCAGGTCTTGGGAGCACTGAATACAAGTAGACCAACAACGTTCAACTGGATATAACTGTAGTTGGGCATGCCCAGCTGTGGCGACACACTGCAGTTGGGCCTTTACAATCGGGGCAGTGGATGCAGTCGGGACTTAACATGACAGTAAAACATAAGAGCAACCATTTTTTCTTATTTCCAATGGTCCGTTGTCCGTTTATAAGACCCAACATTTGTTTTGGTTAATAACAGATATTTCTGTTTCTACTGTGAGAGCAGTGTAATGCAGGTAAACAACGCATCAGCAAATTACAAGTTTGGGCCTCCAAAATTATACAGGGGTGACAAAATCTTTTCATTCGATGAGCCGTGGAATTCTTTGCATCCCTTTTTTATTTCTCCATTAAAAACAAAAATCAGATACAACACAGAAGTACAGATTCAGGTGCAAACAAACTATTGTTAATACAGATACATCCCTTTGGTAGATCTATCCAATGGTTCATTTTATGTTCATTTGTCTAAACTTGTTCTGCTTTCCTGTTTGCAAAACCATTGATATTTCCACACTTTGTAAATGTCACACCTGACAACAAATGGTACTCGTACCAAGTAGCACAGGCGACTTTGTGAATTGGTGCCGCAAACGTACAGGCGACCTGACCTTGTCTCCTCAGCCACACGGATGAAATTCCAACAGTCCCTCTGTGGATCAAACAATGTGATAGCATGTTGAGGAAAAATTATGTTACATGTACATTTCACAGAATGCAGCCTCCGAACCGGGTTTAACATGACGTTCATAGGCATACATGAAACTGACTATATCATCTTTAAACCACCACCACACAAAGTTTGGGAAAAAATCTTCCAGTAATTAAAAATAGGAAAAACCTGATGTGATGTTCTTTCGATAACTGAATATGGTAGAGTCTTCAAAAGCTAAATATTTTTGACATGTATTTAAAAAATGACGCCAATCAGACCAACAGCTGAGACAATGCAGAATCAGCATTGCGCACATCAACCTATGACATTTCAGCAGTCTCGAAAGTGATGCCTGTCCCCGAGTGCATGCAAAAGGGACAGCTCTCTAGTCTACCTTTATTCAATATAACTTCAGGGGGTCATGGAGTCTTTTTTCACCATCTTCACAAGCATACAAAATAGATATTGGGGAAAAGGTTGACAGCCTGTGTACACTTTTTATGTAAAATGTGATAATTGCTATCATACTTTCTTGCAGATTTTTTTCAGGAGAAGGAATCATAAGAAAAACAGTGAATTATGTAAACTCTTCAAAATGAACGACCCCTCTAGTCCAACATAATGATGTCTAGATACCAGACCCGATGATTCTGACAAATCTATGACTCAAGACTCCCAGTGTCCGCGTGACCAAGACTGGAGGATTCCTCCAGTTTTCCGGAAATAGCCGAAATACTCCGAAGTCGGCGTCCTGTTTATATTCGGCATGTTCGGATGATATCGTTGATATCGTTCGGCTATTCCCGGCCGGGTAGGTATCTGTTGACGTAATATTTTGATCGTTTATCAAGAGTTGTCAGGGAATCTTTGGGCAGGGAACCAGACTAAACATAATGTACTCGGATGTGGGCGATTCACAAGAGAACGTCTCTAAGAGTTTGCAACGCGTTGGCCAATCACAACGTGTGAAATTTGTCGACCCTTTCAAACGCGCCATGGGTCGACAGATTTAGCGCGTCGTGATTGGCCAACGTGTTGCAAACTCTTATTGGAGGCGCTCTGTATATTGTGAATCACCCGTATTGAGAACGCAAGTAACGTCTATTTATAGTACGGAAATGACTCACCTCAGGGTCACTGCTTCTGTGCTCACAAGTAACAATTAACGGAGGCTCTTCTGTCAAAAGTTCTGTTGTCTGCAAGGAAGCAGTCGAGACTTTTCACACGCAAGTGTCAGGAGACTGAAAACTATGTCTCCTGCGGGAAACCAAAGCGTTGCCTTTGCTAATTCGACTTTAATGTTTATTTTCATGCACATGACATGGGAAGCGACGACTTACAGACTTCAACTGCTAGAAACTAGGAAATAAAGTTGATACAAACCCCAGTCCGTGAATACATTTCAGGACTTTGATAATGAAAGTCCACTGAAGTTCCAGGTTAATTGTTCCGTGATATACCTTGATAAGATTAGTTATTTGGTAACACCGTCGCCCGCTTACAATCGACATTAGCCAGTATGAAACAGTAATAAGAGCAAGGCGGTTCATATTTCAAAAGGATCTTTGTTGACATCATCATAGCCGAGGAGATGCACAATACAGTGGTAGATAGACAACAGGCTACCAGTGATCAAACGAAACCCATTGTTACGCGCCATATTCCGCTTCAGCAACGGTGCATCTTTCTACTCGCCAAATTAAAATCTGTCATACATTTGCAGAGGGGAAAGACAGAAATTTCTGGTCTGGGGCCAGCCCAAGCACGACTTACAATGTTTGCTACCACAGTATATTGTCCATCTATCCTGTCTATGCTCAATTTTAAGAGTGTCTCGTTGCCTCCGACGTAGACCGCCTGGCCGATCTTGTTGAGTATTCGGTAGAAAGGCTGACCGGTCTGAGATCCGGGCTGGTGGAAAGTGACCACACCATCTTGCTCCTCTGAAGAGAACCTAAGAGGCAGGTCTATGTTTTCAAAAGTAGAAAAGACAAGAGTAGAAGACGATGTCACCAACCTGATATGCCAAGGCCGTCCCGAGTCCATGTCCAAAAGGTAACAACCTCATTGGCTACTTTCGACATTCACCAATAAAATTTTTTATATATGTCAGAAATGATGGCTTTTTTCCCTTGTCATATCCCAAGGAACATTTTGTAGAAAAGTAAATGCATGTTTCTCAACGATACAACAAAATGTTAAAAACCAAAATTTGGAAACCAACACCCGATCCGACTACCCACTGCTACTTATAAGTGAGGCCTGCGCAGCTAAATGGCCATGCTCTAACTATGGTGCTAATATATTATCGTATGATGCAATACAGAAAGCACACTTATAAGTAAGGCTTGTTTGAGCTTTCTGCCTTCAAATTTTTTTGACGCTGACTAGCCTCACTTATAAGTGTGTCACTGTATTGCATCATACGATAATATACTACCATCACACTTCTTGCAGGATATTTTGCTGCACAGGCCTCGCTTATAAGTAGCGGTGGGTAGTCGGATC